TCTCCCCCTTCCTCCGTTCCAAGTTGGGGCGAGGGGCGTTGGACACGTGATTGAACACGTTCTGTGCGACGCGCGGGTGATGAGCCACGGTCGTCTGGACAGTAAACCGAGCGAGAATTCCCATGGGGTTCGAAGCAGAAGCGAAGAAAAGCTCTGGCGCCATCTGGTGGCCGCGTGCCCGCCGCGGCCCGAGCGCCCCGCCCGCGCCCTGTCCCCCAGTCCTCCCGGGGCGTCGGCGCTGTGCCCCCGCTAGCCGGCCGCCGGGAGCAAACCGCCCAGAGAGCCAGACTTACAGGCTCGACGTCCCCCGGCACTGAAATGTCGTTCCGTAAAGTATGGTGATGGCTAATAGCAAAATGAAAATGCTTGGACATTTATTTCTTTGTAAAAAAAAAGTTCATCCTGGAAAATCTACCCGGATGACATTTTATCAAGTCTTATTTCAGGTCCCTGTAAATTAAAATTTTATACAGGAACATGCCAAGTGAGAGAATGTAATTCAGAAAAATAGCTGGAAGGACTGCCGGCTTTTCAGAGGAGAGGTATAATTGCAGGTTCATCTTCAGAGTGCTTCAAAGCAACATAGGCATCTTTTAAAGAAGAAAACGGGGCAGAGGGTTTCTTTAACTCCTTAACTTCCACTTCTGTATAATCACTGTGCAAAACTAGAGGGGCAGCTGTGGTGTGTGGAACGGAACATCATTTTTGGAATCAGAGACCTGGGACTTGAGGCCCAGATCTGCCACTTACTAGGGAACTGAACTTGGAGGCTCAGTCGCCTCATTTCCAAAGAGAATGATAGCGTCTTCTCCAAAGGAGACTTAAAGCTCTGACCACAGCCACTGTTGCCTGTATCTGTGCCAACAACTTTTACTTGCCCCCGGTCACCATGGCTGAGCTGTCCACGCTCCTCTAGGCCAGCCACTCCTTGGGCCCCATAACCCACTGACCACTCATGGACATTGCTCCAACAATTCTTCCCCTCTTGCATTCCCCTCTCTACTAGATCTTTCCATTAGCACACAGACATGATACAGTTTCTCCCATCTTAGAAAAAAACCCCTTGTGTGGGGCTGGCCCCGTGACCGAGTGGTTAAGTTCACATGCTCTGCTTCAGTGGCCCAGGGTTTCACTAGTTCAGATCCTGGGCATGGACCTTGCACTGCTCATCAAGCCATGCTGAGGCGGCGTCCCACATGGCACCACCAGAAGGACCTACAACTAGCATACGTACAACTATGCACTGGGCGGCTTTGGGGAGAAGAAGAAAGAAAAGAAGAAGAAGAAGATTGGCAACACACGTTAGCTCAGGTGCCAATCTTTAAAAAAAAGAAAAAAGGAAAAAAAAGCCCCTGTGGGGCCAGCCGTGTGGCCTAGCGGTAGTGGTTAAGTTTGGCACGCTCCACTTCAGGAGCCGGGTTGGGTTCCCAGGCGTGGACCTACACCACTTGTTGGCAGCCATGTGTGGAGGCATCCCACATACAAAATAGAGGAAGACTGGCACAGATGTTAGCTCAGGGCCAATCTTCCTCAAGCAAAAAGAGGAGGATTGGCACAGGTGTTTGCTCAGGGTGACTCTTCCTCAGTACAAAAACCCCACAAAAACCAAAACCCTCAAGCCCCCAGTCCCCTGCAGCCAGCATCCCATTTCTCTTCTCACTTCTGTATCGTAGCAAAGCGTCTCTGAAGGCTGTCCATCCTCTCTGTGCTCCTCCCCTTTGCTCGTGACCCACCCCATCAGATCCGTCCTGGCCCGCTCACCGGGGCTGCTTTGCCAAGGAAATGAGTGACTTCCTCAGTGTTGAATTCCAGGGTCAATTCTCGGTCTTTATCTCCCACGGCCTGTCAGCAGTATTTGGTGTGATCGTTCCCTTCTCCTGGAAACCTCTTGTCCTCTTGGCTTCAGGACGCTACACTCTCTTGATTCTTCTGCCGCTTGTCTGCTATTTCCCAGTTTCCAGGGCTTGGTCCTCAACCATCTTTGCTCACCCCCTAGTGATCTTATCCAGTCTCAGGGCTTAAAATACCACCTGTCTATTCTGATGACTCCCAAGCAGCGTCACCAGCTCAGCTGTCACCCATGAACTCCAGACTCAGATATGCAGCTTCCTCCTTGATGTCTCTGCCTGCGTGTCTCAGAGGCCTCTCAGACTTAGCCTGTCCGTGAACTTTAGAGCTTCCCTCCAGACTTGCTCTCTCTGGGGTCATCTCCATCCTAGTTCACGGTTCCTTCGGCTTTCCAGATGCTCGGGCCAAAAATCTTGGAGTCATCCTTGACTGCTCTTTTTCTCTCAAACCTCACATGCCGTCTGTCAGGGAATCCTGGCGGCTCTCCCTTTGTAATGTATGCGGGATCCAGTCCTTTCTCACCGCTGGATCCACCCCACTTGGTTTTTCTCCAGAGCTCATATGACATACTATATATTTTGTTCTTATTTATCTGTTGAATGCCCGTCTCCTCCACAGCCGTGTAAGCTCCCTGAGGGCTGGGTCCCCACCACCCCCGGTTTTGTTCACTGCTGTATCCCCAGGGCTTTGAACCGAATCCTAATTGGTGCTCAATAAATATTGGCAGATGAATGAATGAACGAAGCAATTGGCAAATAGCAGGTATGTAATAAATGGATACGTGGTAGCTATTATTTTATATTGTCCTTCTTAAATTTCTAATTTGTTTAAATTTCTAATTTGAATGGGAAATTAAAAGAAAAAAATTTCACTGTGAGGGAGCAATCAGACACATCCAGAAGGTGGGCTATCGTACTGTGCCACTTCTTTTTACCAGTTAATGTCTTAAAAAGGGCGGAGGGTTCTGTCCTGGATGAAAAGAGGTTTAAGAGATAAAACACCCAATGCGTTGTGTGGTCCTGCACCATTCGAGCAAAACCGCTTTAAAAGACTTTTTGGTAATATATGGGGGGACATTAGAATTTGAACCTGGAATTAGACAATGTTAACAATTCTATTGTATCAGCTATTTTAATACATAATGATTTAATACATGTCATTATGTATTACAACACCATTTTATTTATATATAAATGTATACATATATATGAAATTCAATTTTTAGGGGTGAAATATTATGATGTCTATAATTTACTTTAAAACACTTCAGCAGGAAAAGAAATATATGAAGCCAAGCTGGCAAAATATTAACAATTGTGAAATTGAAGCAAGCCACATCTAGGTATTTGTTAGACTCTTTCTACTCTCTCTGTATGTTTGAAAATTTTAATAAAAGAAAAGCAACAGAAAGCAAGCTATGAGTTTTGTGGAAAACTAACTGCAGCAGAACTTTTGCAACATTACTGATTCAAAGGGACCCCGCCCCGTGGCTACCCAACGGGGACCGTTGGCTGGGGCCCCGCACCTCCAGCGGCTGCAGCTTGCCTTCCAGGCCCCTGCGCGGAAGCAGTGCTGCCTGCACGCGGCTCTGGCAGTGGCTTCTGGGAGGTGAAGGGTCGACCTGAAATGCCAGCTGCTCTGAGACGGGCAGCTCTCGGGCAGCCCAGCTGTTCTGGCAAAAAGGCATTTGGTGCCGGGTTAAGCCCAAGGCAGGCAGTGTCTCCTTGCGCCGTGCCTCTGGTTTCTAGAAGTACAGATTTATGCCTTTTGAACTTGGAAGGGGAAAAAATCCTGAAATCAAAGTCAAAAGCTGCTAGAAGGACCCTCCAAAGCTAAACAGAAATGAGCTCAGAGCTCGCCCTCCGTGCGGTGGCTGTGGGATAGGGGGAGACGGTGTTGGGGACTGCGTGACTGACACGTTCAAAGGTGCTCACGAATGGTGTTTTTTTCCTGTCTTCAAAGTAAATTTTGGGAGCAGTGAGCTCATTTTACCATTATCTCTAGGTTTTGGGACTTGGGGCGACATTTTTCTTTCTTACACTTTCCCATGCTTTTCAAAATTTCCTCCATCACCACACACTATGCTCATGATAAGAGAAAACCAACTATGGCTATTTGTCGATACCTACTGGATCAGATGGGACATGTTCCGCTGTGACTACCAACAAATGCAGGTCAGCACGAAGCAAACGGGGAATTGCTGCTTCAAGGGCAGGGCGGGTGGGCTCCCAGTCCAGCTGGGCCTGGGCTTCCAGTGAGGGGCCTGGACCTGCTTCCTTCTCTTCGTCCTGCAGGTCTCCCTCTAGATTTGGCTCCGTTTGCAGGCAGATGCTTCCCTTGTGGTCACAGTACAGCTGTAGGAGCTTTAGACTCGTATCTCTCCAACTTCGAGTCTAGTGGGAACAATTTCTTTCCTGTGATTCCTGGAAAAATGTCCTTTGCATCTCACTGGCTCATACGCCCACCTGAAAACCAACGCTGTGGCAAGGGGGATGGAGCAACGAATCGGTTCGTGTCTAGGTTACATGCCTCATCCCTGAGATAGAGGTGGGACCCTCTCCCCCAAGCACATGGGTTGGAAGAGTAGTTTCCTAGAGGCAACCTGGTGTCCAGTTAACAGAGAGGGGGAATAGATGGAGGATAGCCAGAAAATCACAAATGCTCAGTCTCCCTACCTACTTCCAGAAAGGATTAGCAAGAATGCAGGGAAGAGAAAGTTTAGGCTAAGGAAAGCTACTCTAACTGAACCGACAATTTAGCTCTGAGCTTCCTGGCAGCTGAGGTAAAAGGGAAACGCTTGTTTACAGAATGTTAACTCATTAGGATTAACAGTAAGGAAGGATCAACAACTCTGAGGAAACTTTCCTAAAATTCCAAGGCTCAGTTTAAGCTGCCCTCTTCTCCTGTTTTCTTTCTCCATTTCCAACATTTTGTACTGCTTCACTTTTTGTCTTTCTTGGGCGATCTTCACCTGTTTTTCTTTTTGGAAGATCAGCCCTGAACTAACACCCGCTGCCAATCCTCCTCTTTTTGCTGAGGAAGACTGGCCCTGAGCTAACATCCATGCCCATCTTCCTCTACTTTATATGTGGGATGCCTGCCACAGCATGGCTTGCCAAGCGGTACATATGTCTGCACACAAGATCTGAACCAGCGAACTCAGGTGCCAAAGCAGAACGTGCAAACTTAACCCCTGCACCACCGGGCCTGCACTTTTACCTTTTTTCTCATGCCACTGAGATGAGTCCTTGTCCCATTTCTGCCCGGAGCCATCCTATGGCCTGCTGACCTTTCTTCACAGTGGAATGGGAAACTCTCAGACCATCCAGGGGCCTGGACTTGCACTGTGATAACGTTTCATTATACGCTCCTGGAGGGAGGCAGTTAACGCTAAGGGCTAAAAATCCACTGCCATTGGAGGATCAGCCAGAAAAGGGTCGAGAGACCTGGAGTTTAGTCCTGTTTCTCTTTTAGAGTCATCTACCCTCCCCGGCCTCTTCCCGGTTGGAAGAGGGACGAGCCGGATCCGATGGAGACGCCAACATTCCCGCGCGACTCTGCAGAAAGCGCATTACGCGGTGGGAAAGTAGCATTCGCCTCGCTAAAACCCATTTCACAATGTCTTTTGCATCAAAAAGGTTTTCAAAGATTTTCTTCCCAGACCACATATTTTCTCACAGATCCTGAACGTTTCACGCTCTATTCTTCTTCCTGTGTTGACAGCAGGAGGAAGCACATCCGCTGGGGCGGGCGCAGCGCTGGCCCCTTCTCTCCCGCTCCTCTGGGCTTGTTTGTTGATGAAGCGGGAGCCGAGCCAGAGCAGCCGGCAGCTGCAGACGCGAGGAGGGGCGGCCGCAGAGCTGCTCGGCTGGCCCTGCGGGAGCCTCGCTGACAAACGCATCGGCTGCTTCGGGAAAAGAAACTGTTGACCGGGTGACGCCCCCTTGCCCGCTCCTAAGCTTCACGTTTACGAAGTTTCTACAGGGGACTGTCGATTCCCAGAAGTCGGGGAGAGAAGGGCACCTTTGAGCCTTACTCCTGCTTGGGATATTTTCTCTCCTGGATTTGTCCTATTTGCACCCTTCTAATTGCCAGCCTTTTTTTTTTTTTTTCTGGAAAAGCCAGATAGGAGAATAATTTGACTCTGGAAAGGGAGGGCTTTGCAACCTTCCCTGTGTCACCTGTTCCGTCTCTCTTTTGTGTTGTTATAGTCTGGATTTTAGTATTTTAACGTGGAGTTGTACTCATTTAACTTCACAGAACACACTTCAGTGGGCGACCATCACCTTCCTCTCCAGGGTCTGGGGACCACTGCTCAGAACTGGTCTTAATGATCTCAGCCTTCCGTTGGGGCCTAGGAGCCACCTGGTAAGAATGGGCCTAGCTTGTCTGCCGTGGTGGGAGGACGTCCCCACTCTGAAGATTTTTTTTGACTGCTTTGTGCCTCCATTCTCTCCCAGGTGGACCAAGGGACAGCCTGCAATGGCTTTCTTCCTAGACAGAAACGCCGCTAGGTCACCACTCATGTTATATAGTCAGAAGCCTTGCTTTAAAAATTAGATTGCAAAGTAGAGTGTATCTCATATGATTAAACATGGTTTTTTCCCCAATCGTTTTTGTGAGTTTATTACAAATGGACTAATTTTGCTGTAAGCAAAATGTCTTTTATTATGCTGACAATGTATAAACAGAGATTAAAGGTTTTTCCCTGAGAATAGTTGTTTGAAATACCAACATGGAAGAATGACGAGTAGTTTCACTGATGGCCGTGCTGTTTGCAGCGGCCCCCTCTGAAGCGAGGAGTCTGGGTAAGGACTTTCCCCCAGTAGAGATGTTGTAACAATTACACTGAATTCAGGAGACTTCCTTTAAATAAGCAAATGTTTCCAGTAACAACGGAATGTAAACCTGACTCCAGTTAGTAGATTTGCTACTATCTCTTTCCTATCTGTGATTTTAGCTGCGTTCAGCTAAAAGAGTAAAATTTCTCTATCTTCCTAATGACTCATCTCCAATTAAATTATTTACAATGAATTCCCAGGCCTTTAGGGTTTATCAGCGAATTTTAAAACGTTGACTAACATTCTGCAAACAGTATATTTAAGCCCCACAGGTAGGATAGTGCCCCCAGAAATTTAGCTCATAACCACGATCATGGGTCATGTTCCCTGTGTTGCCGTCTGGGGGCTGCATGTGGGAAAACCATGCCGATCAATGTAACCTTTGGATTTCTTTGAAAGGAAACAGGCTGCACGCACTACAGGGAGAGAACAAAGAGAAAGATGGAGGAATACAGGTGTCCATGCAAGATCATGGCCACTCTGGACCAACAGCTCAAAGTGTGTGTGTGGTGATTAATTTTACGTGTCAACTGGAGGGTAGTTTTGGATGAGATTAGCATTTAAATTGGTGAATTTTGAGTAAAGCAGATTCCTCTCCTGAATGTGGGTGGGCCTCATCCAATCGGTTGAAGGCCTGAATAGAACAAAAAGACGTGACTCCCTAAGCAAGAGGGGCTCTCCAGCAGACTGCCTTTGGACCTCATCTGCACCACCAGCTCTCCTGGCCCTTCAGCCTGCCAGCCCACACTGCAGATTTTGGATTCGCCAGCCTCCATAGTTGTGTGAGCCAGTTCCTTATAATAAATCTCTTTCTGTACAGGTGCTGTTGGTTCTGTTTCTCTGGAGAGTCCTGATTGATACACGTGTCCGGCTGAGGCTGGCTCATTTGTTCAAGACTGCAGACTTTCAGTCAAGGGAACCTTATAGAGCAACTGCTACAATCCTCTTTGAAACCCCCTACCAGTAACACACACCTCCTGTCTGTCACAGAAGCATCTGCTTGGTGTGCTCGGCTGCCATCTACTGCCAAATTTAGGTACTGCAAAGTCCTAGTCTTCCCACTTCACTTCCATCCCATCTTTGCTGATTTAATTCCCCCAGCACCTATTAGTAGACCTCCATATTCATGTGCGTCATTCATTCTTTTATTCATTCAACAAACATTTAGTGAGGGCTTGCTTGTGAACAAGGCTTGGCAGCAGATGCAAAGACTGACCAGCAAGTGGTCTCTCCTCTTCACGGAGCTCACAGTCTAGCTGGAGATAAAAGCAGACAATTACAGTCACACGTGCTCAGGACCAAGAGAGAAATGTGAACAAGGAGCTAAGGCATGAGCACAGGACATTCGAGGGCGGGCCACTATCTGAGGGAGTGTTTTTCTGTGTTCCAGTCACGGCGTTGGCTCTGGACATAGAGGGTCATGGCCACTTCCCTCCAGCAGCCTTCGGCCTCCTGGGTCCATTCTCCTCCGCTGCTTGCTTCCTTCACAACCGGTGCGTCTTCTAGTGAACGTGAGTGCATTGGCCAATAGCAGCAACTTAGATCTGAAGGACATTATCTTGTCCCATTTCCTTTCTTTACTCTTGAGGAGAGGCAGCCTTGGAGAGGGCGGAGCACCTAGGGGAGACGATGGGCTTTGAGTTGACTATCTAGGAGTGGATCAGAGCCCTGGAGAGCAAGCCTTCATGTCCTCGTGTGACCAGTGCAAAGAATAGCCTTGCCCTCGTAGGGTTATGTTATGGGACTTCAATGTGATGACATGCTTGACTAGTCTGGGTTTTTTGTTGTAAACACCAAAAATCAAACCTGGCTAACTTAAATAGAAAAATATCAGACAGCTCACAAAAGTGAGGGGAGGCTGGGAGTGTTTCTATTAGTCTCTCTCTCTCCCTCTCTCTCGCACGCGATGCCTGTATGCTTACACCAGCTTTCTTCTGACCTCTGGCTGCAGACTCTCTGCTCCCTGGTCCCCATGGAGGAAGGGAGGGCTGCTTACAGCTCCAGGATCACGTGTTGCATGTCGGCCTCTAAGGAGAGACCAAATCTCTCAGCAAATCAGATCCCTGGGAAGGGGTCCTGAGCAGCGCCGCTCAGAGCAGGTGTGGGGTCAGCGTGCACCCACCTGACTGCCGGGAGCTCCCTGCCGTGAAGCCGGGCAGGGGCTGGGGCCAGCTCGGCCGCAGCCAGTCAGTGCGGCTCTGTGAGTCTGGCCTCGGGCCAGGGAGCCGGGCGTCTCCACTGCCCGGGGGGATCTGAGGCTTCCTGGAGGTCTCCATGGCCGTCTGCACCTGCGTCCTCCCTTTGTCCATCAAGACGTCTGCTGGGCCACACAGCTCCCCAGCGTGTCTTCTTCCTCAGCCCCTGGCCTCAGTGCCCGGGTCCCATAAGGGGCCACTCTGCCTCGCCCCTGCCAGGATCTTCCCACTGATGTGTGCCCAGGTCCACGTGAGCAGGACACCTGTTACAGGCAGGCCTGGCCTCTCGTAAATGCAGGAAACTTTGTGCCTACACGCTGTCCTCCAGGCACAGAGCACCGGAGTAGTTTCCTTGCGTCTGCCAGAGTGTGGCAGTGGTTCTTTAAAGATCGGGGCCCTGTGCTTCCGAGCTCCCAGCAACACTGCAGGGGCAGTCATTGAGGGCTGCCTTGCTGGGGAGAGGTGGGGCTGTCCCACAAGAAGTCAGGGGCATGGGGTCAGGAGGGGACGGGCCCGGGGTGGGGGCGATCCCCTTGCTCCTCTCAGCGTCTGCTCTGGGCGGGATCGACAAACAGGGAGTGGGAGGAAGCATTCCGTTTGGTGGGGTCCCTGCCTCCTGCGCCTCCTCAGACCACCAGCATTTCATCCTTTCTCCCCCACCCCCTGTCAAACTGCCGTGTTGAACACATGTGCTGAGTGACCACTCGGTCCCTGAGACTGGAGGGGTGCCCCTTCAAGCCAGAGGTGTTGTATCACTTTATTGGAGAAGCCCCCTTAAGCCAATAGTAATTACCACTTCTTGAGCACCTACTGTGTGCTAGGCACCGTCCTGGGTGCTTCCACATGTTACCTCCAATCGTCCTAGGCATTTGGTAGGTGCTGTTACACCCATTTTACAGATGTGGCAACTGGCGCAAAGGGTTGAGGTCATTAAGGCCAGATGGGAGTGTGTGACAGACCGAGGCCTGCCCGGCCCCAGGCTCTCCTCCCTTGTCCACCTGCTGCTGGAAGAACCTCCGCTCAGTTCTGGCATCGGGGGTTTGGTGGGTGGGGGGAGGCGGGGCCTTTGGAACCCACTCTTCCCCCTTCGGAGAGCCGCTCCTCCGCCCCAGGGACAGGCAGGCCTGCCCCGCCCTTCAGTGTCTCAGGCCTCACGAGGGGGCCTGTCCCACCTCACCATCCATTCCTTCCACGGTCTGACTCTGCTAGACGCTGAGGCTCCCACCATGAAGATGCTGTCACATCCTGACCCCCGTCCATCGGGGACCTGGTTGGTGTCCTCACACTCAGGATTGTCATGGGGATGGGTCCTCCTCTCACAGACAGCTGAGGGCTGAGGGCTGCCAGCCTGACAGTCGCCCATGACTGCTAGAAAGCAAATCTTTTAGAGTAAAACATCCGTTGTCTCACCACTCATTTTATTCCATGGTAAGATGACTTCTTAGTGAAGTCGATGGGAATCTGACTGTGGGAGAACAGACGCCCAGAGACCACCTGGGATAGGCCAGCATTTCAACATCTCGGTGCTGCGTGGGTCTCGGCCATGGGGATAGAGGCAGCCATCCTTTGTCCAGGGTGGGCAGCTGAACTGGGTGCCATTTATACTCAGCTAACAGAGTGTTCAACCCTTCTTCCTTTTACCCTGATCCCCAGGCCATGTGCGCTGAAATGGTTCAGTCCCCAAATTGCCTTTCCTAGGTGGGGACCGTGATTTCCCTGGGAGCCAGGACCCAGTGGTCCTTGATTGCTGCAGCTTCGCTCTGGAGGGTCTGCTTTGCTGTAGTTCCTTCTCTGCAGGAGGACTGGGGCTGCGTAGACCCCATCTGGACATTTCCCTCCGGGAGGTCAGGATGCCTCAGTTCGCCCGTGCTGCTGGCTTCTGGTCAACGGGGAGCTGCACAAGCCGTGGGGACGGCCACAGCCAATGCAGCTGGTTCTTCATCTGAGTTCCTCCTCCGCCCAGCTGAGCGGAAGTGATGCTCTGATTGGCCCAGGTTACGGCCCATCAAGGGCGGTTTAGGTATTTGGACCAGCGGGCTGCTTGCCCAGAGAGGCCCGAGCCGGCACCGTGTGATGCAGCTGAGAATGGGTGTGGGTGATGCGAGCAAGTAATCGGTCATATGGGAGGCCCCAGATGAGAATCCCAGAGGGGATGCCTGGTTGACAGGGAGCTTCCCCACATTCCCCTTCCTGCCAAGGGGCAGGGGGTGCTGTGGGATCAGGAGAGAGTGTGACGACTTGTCCTGCTGTCTGCTTGTGATCATAGTCTCAGCGTTCTGGGGCTGGGGTGGTGGTGGTGGTTATGGGGAAGATGAGGGTTTTTTTAATCTATTTTTTTAATGGCAGACGGACAAGCTAAGATGCTTTCCCACTGACAGGCTGGGGAGATGGGGTGAGTGGTAGGGTGGAGGCCTTGGGGTGAATTCTCAGAGCTCAGCCACTGTGGCCGGTTATCAGAGTGGTAAGTGTGTGTGAGTGAGTGAGTGTGTGAGTGCGCGTGTGAGAGGCAGGGAGACAGTATGATGGCATCAGGGCTTGGACCCTGGTCTCTGTAGCAGCTCCTTTGGAGGGGGTGAGGCTGTAGCATTTTGGTTCCCATTCTTTTTTTTTAAAGATTGGCACCTGAGCTAACAACTGTTGCCAATTTTCCTTTTTTTTTCTCCCCAAATCCCCCCAGTACATAGTTGTATATCCTAGTTGTGGGTCCTTCTAGTTGTTAAATGTGGGACGCCGCGTCAACATGGCCTAATGAGCGGTGCCATGTCCGCGCCCAGAATCCGAACCCCGCAGTGTGTGAACTTAACCACTTGGCCATGGGGCTGGCCCCGGTTCCCATTCTTGACCGTGATGCCTGGCTGTGTTTCTGTGACGTATGAGAGAGGGTGGGGGCCCCAAGGGTCTACTCCCCACCTCCTCCCTGTGGCCATCAAGGTGGGCACCCGGCCTCTGGGCTGGGCAGGTGATCAGTGGGGTTGGGGGTGAACAACAGGCATGAAGCTGGCTGCCCACTCTGGGGCCAGGGTGGCGATGAGCTGGGGCCGGGGCCGGGTCCACAGCAACAGCAGGAATTAAGAAGAGGATCCGAAGGGGAGGGTCTGGCATGGAGCTTCGGGATGAGGGAGTGTGGTCGGTTCCAGATCTTTATTCAACACCTGAATGTCAGGCACTGGGGAAACCTCACGGAGGAGACAGCCCAGTTCCTTTCTTCTTGGGGGTCCCAGGTCAGCAAAGCTGGGGACATTCCAGAGGGCATGGGCAAAGGCGAGCTTTTGCAGGAGAGAACTGCTGAGCAACGAAGGCCTGGGAGAGCTGTCCATGGGAGAGGCCAGATGCCCGCAGCGGCGGGTGTTCAGCTCGGGCTGGCCTCCTTCCTGGATGGCACAGCCGACGGCAGCTGAGGGGAGAGGAGGAGACTGGCCGGCTCTGAAGACCTTGGCTCTGTGGAACCTGCTCTCTCTCTTGGCCTCAGTTTCCTCATCTATAAAATGGAACTTTTAATTTGCAGGATTGTTCTGAAATTTGAACGATGTGCACAAAGTACTCTGGAAGCTGGAAAATATAAGGGCTCCCTTCCTGTTCAGCAGGTCAAACTTCAGTGTTCTTATTTCTGAGGTTCATAGAATC